AATCCTGAGCCGGTTCCAAAAAAAGCTGTACCTTTTCAGCTTGTTCCTCTGAGCCTTCTTGGAATTGGATCTTTCCTCACCACTCTCATACTTGCTATTAACAAGTATTGTTTTCCAAGATTACGTTTTCATCAAGGTCAAACCTCAGTTGGGTAGAGCCTCAGACCTTTAATCTCAGGGTCCAGGTTTTCAGTCCCTTCTTCAGGCTTGGAGTTTTGTAGTGAAGTCACTTTTCTGTGAGATTCCTGACTCTTGCTAATCCTGAGCCGGTTTCGAAGAAAGCTGTACGTTTTCTGCTCGTCCTTCTGAGCCTTTTTGGAAATGGGGTTTCTCCTCAGTCGTCTTATATATTCGTTTAACAAGCTATTGTTTTACAAGATTACCTTTCAATCAAGGTCAAACCTCAGTTGGTAGAGCCTCAGACTTTTAATCTAAGGGTCCAGGGTTCAAGTCCCTGTTCAGGCTTGATGTCTTGTAGTGCAGTGACTTTCTGGTGAGATTCCTGACTTTTGCTAATCCTGAGCCGGTCCCAAAGAAAGCTGTACCTTTTCTGCTCATTCCTCTGAGCCTTTTGGGAATGGGACGAACACATTTAGTTTGTTCCTCTGACAGAGTCACATTTGCAATAATCAAAAGAATTTTGGAGCCTGGATAGCTCAGTTGGTAGAGCATCAGACTTTTAATCTGAGGTTCCAGGGTTCAAGTCCCTGTTCAGGCTTGATGTCTTGTAGTGCAGTCACTTTCTCGTTAGGTTACAGATTCTTGCTAATCCTGAGTTGGTTCCAAAAAAAGCTGTACCTTTTCAGCCTGTTCCTCTGAGCCTTCTTGGAATTGGATTTCTCCTCACCACTCTCATACTTTCTTTTAACAAGTATTGTTTTCAAAGATTACCTTTCAATCAAGGTCAAACCTCAGTTGGTAGAGCCTCAGACTTCTAGGTTAAGGGTCCAGGTTCCAAGTCCCTGTTCAGGCTTGATGTCTTGTAGTGCAGAGATCCCTGACTCTTGCTAATCCTGAGCCGGTTCCAAAAGAAAGCTGTACCTTTTCTGCTCATTCCTTTGAGCCTTTTTGGAATTGGACGAACACATTTAGTTTGTTCCTCTGCCAGAGTCACATTTGCAATAATCAAAAGAGCTTTAGAAGCCAGGATAGCTCAGTCGGTAGAGCATCAGACTTTTAATCTGAGGGTCCAGGGTTCAAGTCCCTGTTCAGGCTTGATGTTTTGTAGTGCAGTCACTTTCTGGTTAGGTTCCTGATGCTTGCTAATCCTGAGCTGGTTCCAAAACAAGCTGTACCTTTTCATCTTGTTCCTCTGAGCCTTTT